TTTCTTTCACCCTATGCCTCCTGTTACCTAGCAGTAAAATAGGTACCTGGATGTTAGTCAGCTGTCACGGGATGCTTCCTGGGACGCGGCCTGGTCGAGGACCGGGCCGCGGGGACATTAAAAAGCCCCGAAATCATCTCAAGATAACCTCAAGACACACACGCACCGTCCCCACCAACAACTGGCGCAGTACTGACCGCCTGAAGGGTCAACCAGGGTTGCCAGATCCAAATTGCTGAAAGTAGCGAGCTGAGGGTCTAAAAGTAGCGAATTTGCAATAAGAGTAGCCCATTTTTTTGTTTAGCGACTGATACAGGTTACAAAGTAATATCTTTTAATATATAGAGGACACTATACAATTTTGAAAGTTTCAGCATTACTTGGAATACGAGAAAGAAGCTCTTTGCAAGCTTTCACTTAAATATTATGGCATCTTTCTTGAATATTTTGAAACTTTTCCTGGGTTATAATTGTTTTGTCTGTTAGTTGCCTGAAGTGTTGAAAATTCGTAACCTAAGTCCATTTTCTCCAGAGGCAGACTTATGTAATTGTAGTCCAAATTAACATGAAGCTTTGCATGATGAGGATGCAAGATTCTTCGAGGTATTCCAAGAGTGAAGTTTTCTAAGACAGTGAAGGCTACACTGATCTGCTTCGTCTTTGATAAAATCAATTCATACTTTCAAAGAGATTTAAGATTGGTCTGAGAAATGTGAAATATAGCTAATTGGGGATCAGAGACATTGAAAAAGTTGCCTTGTAACATATTTATCACAAAAGCAAGAAGCGATTTGGTAATGAGTTGTTAAAGAATCCCACTGATCTAATAGCCACTGTACACTACCGCTCCGTGCCAACCATCGTCTTCCTGACAAAGGTATTAACTGTAAAGGATGTTTACAATCATTTATCAATCTGTACATTTCTAGATAACGTTCTCTCCTTAATGAAGATCTGTGGAACCAGATGTGTCTTTCGGGATTAACGACAATTAAGGTTGGGAAATCTATGGCCCCTGGGGAGGATGTCTTTGCCTTGCGGTTACTTTTTCTTTCAAAGGTTCCTAGGATCAACGTCCCCAGAGGGCCGGTCTCTGACCAGGCCTCCTGTGGTAAGTGGTCTAGTCAATCAGGCTGTTTGACGCGGCTGTGGTTTGTACACATTACATTATAAAAGTATAAATAATCATCATTTAGTTTGTTAACATTACTAGCCCAACTTGCTTTTAAAGTAGCCCAAAAAGTCGCAAGTAGCGAAATTAAAATTTGGGAGCGCGGAGCTTTCAAAAGTAGCCCAATCTGGCAACCCTGGAGTCAACATCACCTGGTAGACAAAAAGTAATTAAAGCGCAAAACTAAATTCTTGTTTGGTTGAAATTGCTAACAACCCAAAAAACCCACACCAGAATATTACCAGACTAATTACCATTTTAAATAAACCAGTTTAGTGTTTTTCTTTTGAACATATAAGCCATGCTATGCTCATCCAATCTCATGAATTATGATAAACTTTTCTCGAACTTTGTCACTTTCTCCACACGAAGCTCTTCTCTCAGAACTGTAGCCCCAGAATTGCCAACGGAACCAAAATACTTAACCTAACCTAACTTACTCCTGGCCAAATTTCATTTAGAATAAGCCTTTGTAATCATACTGTCTTAGCACTTTAGCCTGAGAACAGGTAGACAAATACAGTACATACAATTATCATACCTAAATTTCTTTTTATACAGTGTATATATATATATATATATATATATATATATATATATATATATATATATATATATATATATATATATATATACACACACACACACACACACACACATATATCACACACAAGAGTTCATACATTCTTGTACAGACACTAGCACATGTAGCGTTTCCAAGGAAATTTAAGATTAAGAACCTGCTGTCACGACCCTTGAGACTAAATAATGTTCTTCTCCCCACAGTGTAAAGAACAAATAAAAATCTGCCATGCCAATAGGTGTCTAGGGGTATAATTAATCACTGTATAAAAACGGGAGAACAATATATTTTGCTAAGGGTGACAACTTAACAACAATTAAATAAATAGTAGCCAGAAATTTTATCAGCATGTAATACAGCATGAATGCAAGTAATTATTTGATACCTGAGCAATATCTCTAGAATATGGAGTAAGCCATAAATACTCTAAAATCGTCTATCCAGATAAATTAATATTTCTATGGGCTTAAAATAACAAAACCCAAGAACTTAGCTTAAACACAACTGCACTCGACCTCAGCCGCCACTCTACTGCCCAGGACGTGGTCCGCAGGCCCAACGTCGACTAACCGTCTACCCAAACACCAATTAACGTTCGCATGAACATTGTGAACATTCTATTTACAAAGGTCAGCCCTAAACTCCAACATTATTAACTAAGAGTTGTAATTACTGGTCTTACATTCCCTGAAATATTACGGCTACCAAATATGGGAATAAATAAATATAAAACAATAGGCAATTGATTTGCCAACAATCGCCCATTCCCAAATATTGTCAACCGCCCACACGGCTAATTTCACGTGACATCCACCACCAAAACAAACCTTACACACACTACCCAGCTATCTATGTTATATATATATATATAATGTATATATATCTATATACACAAATTTTATACAACTGACAGCAATATTTATGTAGAGAAAACAATAGCATAATACGAGGTTCGGGAGAATTGGCAGAATCGTAATAAGATTCGTGACACCTGCCTGAAACACTATGTGTGCTAGTGGCTTTACAAGAATGTAAGAACTTTTGTATAGGTAAAAAAAAAACCTGAATGCTGTTACCTTACCTTCTACCTTAGGAATGTTAGCCAGGTCTTAAGTCACTGGTAAACACTGAGAAAAGTAGTATATTTAGTTCTGTATATTACTTATTTGAATCTTGTCATTTATCAGTTGGCCCACATTTGTTTTCAAATGGCCTGTTTTCTCTGCTACTTTGGCCTGATGAAATTGGAAAAAGCTTAAAGAATTTAATTTTGCATTTCTGGCTACCCTGGTTTAATAAGCCCTCTTTGCCTTTATTTCTCATTTAACATGCCCTTTTAAATTGTTGCATAGATTTAATAGGTGGGTTTCGCCTTCTTCCCAATATTTTTTAATATGACTTTTTTTGTCTTATTATGTGTTTTACTTTGTCTGTCAGTCATTTGGCAAAATAGTCTGTGTGGGATATTATTTTTCTGTGCCAGATTTGTGTTAGAAAAGGTGCTGTATTTTTTGTCAGCTTTGGTCATGCAGTATCAACCAAGGTCCGTTCCTCTCTCTCGAAAGGTATGGTCATTTTCGGACATAAGATGATTCTAGGAAGCTAGTTTTCTAGCTTAGGCTGTATTGGGCTCAGTTTGGGTTAGGTTAGTTTGGTTGAGCTAGGTTAGGTAGGTTTCAAAATCTGTTAGCGAATCATCTTGTATACGATGTGATTTGTATCCTCTCAAGGTGTAGTTCTCATTTCTGAGATGGCCTCCCCTGCCTACTCAAGTTTAAAGTCTCAGTTAGTCAGTTTGCATCCCAGACATCCTGGACCATAATACTGTATTATTTCTAGCACCACTCATTATTTCGAGGATTATTGACTTGGGATTCAATAATCCCAAGTCTGTTCTCCCAGATTTTTTAATTCTGTACATATCTTAAATCATTGAACAGCCAATTGGACCAATTGCTCCCAGTTAGGTCCCATCCCCAAGGATGGGAAATCTATACACTACTTTAGTCCTAAGTAAAACTGCCTTCTAACAAAGCCAAACCTGTAAAGGTGTGTCAAATTTTTTGGCAGAATACAGATATTCTGTCATAAAGAATGACAGCTTCTAAGGCCAGCCCTGTTGATCAGCATTTGTTTCCAACACCAGGTACTGTTTTCTCTGGCAGACATATTTATAAATTGGATCAGAGAGTAGTCTTCAAACACCTCTAGAAACTTGTTCTACAGGATTTTTTTTTAAGGTCCAGTCAGTACCTCACGGCTGATGTCCCCAACACTCAATCCGACTCCCACTTCACCAAGGTCTGGAGGTATTATATATATACATCTCTGAATAGAATCTTTTCATTGCTCTCAGCCACTTCTGCCAATACTTTCTATGGTCCTCGAGCTTTATCACCAGCTTAATGCTGCATTTAAGATTCTCCACAAATATTATCACTCTTCTACCTCAGAAATCATACTGTCTTGCAATTTTTGTTTTTGTTTTATCTAGTTAAGTACAGGAGCAAATGACGTGGATCTTATTAGTAGACTTGGAATGCTCTCTTATCTTCCCAGTGCTTCTTAAACCCTATCTTACTAGGTATCCCTGGAGCATGACTTATCAATCTTACAACCAGGTTCTCATTTACTAATGAGTGAACAGAAATTAAAATTTTATTAATTGATGCCAAAGTATCCTTCCCTACTCATGGCTCAACAAAACCAGTCATTATAAATTGCGAAGCATGGGGGGATAGCATGCTAATGTACCTTTCTGCCGCAAGGACTATGTTCTTGCACATTCACATCCAGTCTTGCTTACATTAGCAACTTGTTAATCACATTGACCCATTAAACATAATATGTTCTCTCCACCTATTCCTGATCTTTTCACCATTTTGTTTTGTTCCATGTATATCTTTGAACATTTTATTTTACCCATGGACTGGGTGTTACAACAATGGCCTTGTTTCTTGCAGACCAAGTGGTTGTGTACCATTTCTTCATGCCATCCTTGCTCCTATCCTGTTCTCGTATATCTTCCAAGTGGTATGTAATTATTCATGGTTAATGCTTTCTTCTGATTATTACCAAACCTGTTCTGAAGTTAGTAGCTCTTTCCTTAGTGAGCAATCAAGAGAAATAGCTAAGAAATATGCCAATTTCCTCCACATTAAATCCATCTACATTATAATACTACACAGTAATGCATAACTTGAAATTTAAAGATTTTAGTTATGTTTGGTTAATAATATGACTATGTATATATATACTCTTTTATTAATGGTTATGTTAATTTTGATAGTGACAGCCGAAAGATAATGCAATATTTAAAATTCATATACTGTACATTTTTACAAAAATCACTTAAACATATCCACTGAATATTGATATCACCATAATATCCTAATTCTATGTATAAAAAAATACTTTTTGGCATTTACCATCCTTATGCATTAGGCCATACATCTTCACTAAGTACACCATGGCTGAATATCGTCTATTGATTATTCGAACCTGGAATGCCAAGCTTATCAGGAAACAGTAATGCTATCTGGGAATAGGAAAGAAGTACTTTGCAATTTTGTATGATTCTTAGGAAACAAGTTAAATGGTTGCTAGAGATAACATTGCTTAACATTCACTCCAGTTATGCCAACTGTGAGAATTTGAGGAAGTTTGAGCTATTTCACAGGAGTAGCAATTTGTGCACAATACTGTCTGTGGAAGTTGAAAAATGTGACATAAAATGCAATTTGTGAATCTGTAACTCAGCAAGAAAAGCTAATTATTACTGCAATGTAGTAAATTTGAAATAATACTAAGTGAATGTTTGCACAATGACCAAGTAATTATCAAAAGAAAACACTAAGCCAGAATGACTATAGGGTACTACCTGACAATAAACTTTACCAAATGCAATTTTTTTTTTTAACAACTGTCATGACTTTGCTTGTTGTGACCATGTACAGCACTATCAACAACACTGTGCCACATAAAGGAACACTAACTGAACTGTAATTATTGTACAAGGTGTGAAGGTGGGTCACAAAGAAAGGTTTTAACCTTTGTCACTAAACATAATTTATGTGCACCTTGATATGTAGCATTTATAACAACAAACTATCCTGTGTGTAATTAAAAATAATTTTCACAAACTCGTGCACTCTTAAAAGAACAACTTCTATTAGATATCAAGATGAAATTGAGCTTGATATCAGATAAATAATGAGTTATGATACTAATTTAGTATTTTTTTGTTTTGTTTTAACAGACTAACGACTACATTTCTGAATACTATATTACCAATATTAAGAATTTTTCAATAATTATACTAAGCAATTAAAATACTGTACTGTAATACTATTTCTTTACCATCGCACGATATGTGACTCAGGATTCCACAAGTTATTACAAACTCTGGTATCTGAGACATTGAGGATGATGCAACCAAGGCAGACTGCTGCTAACTGAAAATGCTGGTGTGAAAAGGACAGTGTTTTATAAAAATTGCATAGTAATATGTCACTTCAATGTCATGATGTGCTGAACCCATTATATATTTAATACCAATATTGTGCCCAATTTGACTTGTATAATAGTAGTATGTCAATACTGTATAGTACGTATATTCGTGTTAAAAATGGGTTTGCATATTAACGCATAGTACATGTGAATGAGCATGCAGGAGAATACTAAATGGATAATCCCAAAATGTGAGGGATTGTTGCCAGTGTTGTTCTTCCTGATTGGTCAATATTTAACAACTTTGATTATAAGATGTGTTTGCACTTTGTATTTTGTGCTTTTTAAGAATTATGAAATGGATGCGAGCAGAGAAAATACTGGGAACATTCTCCGTGAAAATAAGAATCCATGGAAAGACTAGTTTTTTTTCTGAAAACTTGAATTTTTGAGCAAGGTGAATGCACAAGAGTAGCCTCGCAATGTAGTTGTTTATGTTCTATTTGAAACTAATAAAAAGAATGGAAATATAGATAATTCCTTGTTATCTGTAAGGCCTCTTTTTCACCTGCTTTGCACCATGCAAATAATATTGAAATTACTGCACTGTATTATGTTTTACATATATATATATATATATATATATATATATATATATATATATATATATATATATATATATATATAAAATATAAAATATAATGTAAGAGAATTAGTAATTAAATACAACAAAATGTTAGGGATAGTATAGTGAGCCGAGCAGTGTTATAAATATGCCAAGTAATCAAGCTATATGTCATACCAACAATAAACACAGCAATACGAACTCATCTAGGCACTTTGAGTTATTGTAGTTTTGTGTCTAAGATGTTTTATTAAAGAAGTTACCATAGTACTTTTATTAAGCTTCCAGCGAATATTTTTAATTGCAGTCATAATATAAGTGAGAAGAAACATTTTTTTCCTGCAAGTGGGTTTATCCAGATATGGAAGGACTAGTCCAAAGAAAATAAAGAACCAAGTAATTGTACTATACAGAAAAAAATTATAAAAAAAATATTAGTCTACAAAGAAGTGGCACACCATTCTTAAGTTCCGTTGTAACATTGTAAATACTAATCTAACATTGAAAGAATGTACGTGTGTATAACCACAAGAAAAAGACTGTGCGTGTGCGTGCATGCGCTTCGCATTACCACATTATTCCTACACTCTTACCAATATCATAAATCACAGACAATATGATTTTATAATACTTTCTATAAATAGAAGACACTGCTCAGCTAAGACCTAAATAACGAATTATGGACATCCTATAGGATTCCTACAATTAAATACTGCATTACAACTTGACTTCAATCTCACTGACATTTGTAAAGATCATTTTAAGAATTTAATTTTAATTAACAATGTAAATTTCTTATCAGACTAGATAAATATTGCAGTACATGTAAAATATTACATAAAACATAAGAATCTGCACTGAAACTCTTTACCTATTCTAAGATGCTTTACTTTTTCTCAGTGCCATTGCTTTAACATTTTAACAAACTTCAAGGAAAAGAACTTTACAACTGCATCTTATGTCACACTTCAGTTACTCCATTTCTCCTGAAAGAATCTTATAAAGAGGCTCAGCATATTATGATAAAAAAGTGGCCAACATGCTTGAGTATTTCAATCTGTTGTCTCTCCACCTAACAAAGAGATAGGAAGTACTCTACTCTGTATATTATAGTGTCATTTTGATTTTTAATGTTTATAAAAAAACATTACCAGACAAGCAGTACAATATGCATGTCATCTACACTTAAACTTTCACCACAAATACCAATATAAAAATGCAAAATACTTTAAAAAGATTGAATAGCATTCAGTGAATGAGTATGGTACATATAAAAATTATGATACATTACAAACTCTACCAAGTTTGTTTTGACCTCAGACCCAAGACATGGCAAAAGGATGGACAAATAAATTAGCTTGCTTACCTCAAGGTCACTAAGTACTCAAATTGTACTACTTAATGGTGGCTTGTCTGAGCTCAAACTATATGTCACCACTAAGAATGCAACAGTTTACTACCTAATTGACACACAATGTTCTTAACTGTGAACCCAACTATATTAGTGATTCATATTGGCTCTTACAAGTATGAAGTATATAAGTCAACTAGATAACATTATACAAAATACATATTCACCAAATTTTAATTATTTCAAAGCCAAATACAGGAACTTGGATGCAAGAACTAATTTTGCAAGTTACTGATACTGTACTATACATAGCTTTAACAATGAATGGCTTAAACTAATATCAAAATGTTATCTAGTCCACCGTCAAAAGGTGGGGATAACGCATCCACTTGAATACAACATAACGTAAGTGCTCACTCACTGGTCCCTTAATTTCTAAACTGAGTAATGACTGACAAAGCCAGCACCACCTCTGTGTCCAACATTTGCCCTGCCTTCCTCAACATAATAAAACTTTGGAAGCATTGATATGAATAAATTGGCATTTTTGTTAAATAACAGATATGACTTTTCGATACACATGTAAAGAAATGGTACACAAACAGGCTCAATTACTGTTATGGAGCAAGGTAAGCATAATTTACCTTTCAGAATAAATAATTCTTCCTTAATAGGAAGTTCTTAAATTTAGTACAATCTTTAAGTACGTTGAGAATATTGCAACTTTTTCTTAAGTTCAACTTTTCTTGTACTTGCCTTCAGCCCTGTGTAGGATAGTCCATGTACCATAATAATATCTTCTACATATTATAGTCAACTCAACTTCATACACATCTGTTAACGTCTGCATCCTTCTGATAACTTCCATTTTTCTTCAAAATGATTTCTCTGACAGTCCCATTTTTCAACCTACTAGAGAATATACATTCTCTGAAACTCTCTGTAGATTGAACGTAGTTCCTGCAAACATCTCTTTCAGGAGAACACCATCAACAATGTGAGAGATTCTCTCCAGGTGAATGTCTTTTAAGCCATCAGAATCAATTGTCATGATAAAGATTGCAAATTTCCATCCAGAAAGCTTGCACAAATTTATTGTATGATCTGGATGAAATGTTCATAAACTGTGGACACTGTTTAGAGCAGAAAAAATATTTTGTTCAATTCCACATAATATTAGAAGACCTTAGGTATTAAGATCTTTTAACAGTTCATTATCACATGCATTCATTTGTATAAAAACCTTTTACCTCTTTTGGACACTGACACTCCAAAGTAGCTTAATATTTTTCACAAGAAAATTTGTAAAAAAATCAGTGTTTCTCACAATAATATATTACAAAAAAAAAAAAAATTACTAAAACCTCGACTACTAGGTTTCGTCTCCTTTTCAAGAGGCGGTGTCATGTCAGGTGTGAGCTGGAGGAGGAGGGGGTAAGACACTTGATGCAAGTCATTCATCGGGGAAACTTCTACCTATATCACTGAACGAGGGCCGCATCTCAGCAGTCGGAATCCAGCATTGTCGCATAACCTGGAAATAAGTCAGAGTAAAGATACTTTTCTGTTAATAAAATAAAATACTGTTGAACAGTCATTATTTATTCACATATTCATCAACTTCACCAAAAATAATATAACAAGTTACAATGACATTTATCATCAAAATAACTTTTGATAAAGGAGTAAAATACAATTCAACACAAATTATGACAAATATCATGGTTGCAATTAAATAATGTATAGTATAATCAAATATTTTGGTTAAAATTAAATGTTGGTTTAAGTTAAACATTGAAGAAAACTTCTTTGTACCTTACTTGAGGCACACTTAAATTTGATAGCACATTTACTTTTTAAAAATATTCATAACTAATATACCATTTCTTGTTCTCGACATAAACAGTACACAGAAAATACACTTCAACGATAACTTACACTAAACACATAATCTGGGCAAAATCTTGGTTGTTCCAGAACTCGTCCATTCTGGACCATTTCCACTACCTCTGCATTTTTCATCCGTCCATATGGCATTTTCCCACATGTGAACACCTCCCACATCAGCACACCAAATGCCCACACATCTGACTTTGACGAAAATCTCATGAAGTTTAATACTTCAGGTGCCGCCCATTTGATCGGAAACTTGGCACCACCAGAACCTGTATATTCGTCATCAACGACATACCTGCCCATGATAAAGAACATATTTAATTAAAACATATTTCTATCAATCCATTTTCAGTATAATATGCATGATATTTAATATGCAAACTGTGCAGTGCATAAATGAAGTACTCTACAGCACTGCAAATACAAACTTAGTACATTACAGTACAGTATTGTACTGACTATTAATCATTATGAATGTCAGCCTATATAAAGTATACTTGTGTGCAGACATGAACTCACATTTATACACTGTATATGCTTTTATTTCTAAAGGGCATTATTAATACATGAAATTATTAATACATTTACATGTGTACTTCTAAGCAACAAATATTGTACTGTACTTACCGAGCAAGACCAAAATCTCCTACTTTGATCTCATTCTGTGCTCCAACAAGACAATTTCTTGCTGCTAGATCACGGTGGATAAATTTTTGCTTCTCTAAATAGGCCATACCAGCACAAACCTATAATTAAAAAAAATATTGTAACAAATTCAATAAAAAATACTTAAAACCACAATCTATCGCTATTTTAGTATAGTACAGCATTGAAAAACAAAAACCTTGGTGGATCTTAATTCACTGCATTGACCAAACTCAATTTGTTATAATCAGCAAGCGTTTTATAAATTTAGGTAGACATACCAGGCCTCCAACCAAATTCCATTTGTTCATTGGCATCATTAAAAATGTATTGAACTGTACAATGAAAACAATTATATATAATGAAATATCTGAGCCCTGACTCAGTGGCTATCCTCAGTTTCTCCTCCACAGCATCTCACAGGAACAAATTGCTGACACAAGCAAAAGGAGCCACAAGTAGGAGGGAGTAAGACACTTGATGCAAGTCATTCATCGGGGAAACTTCTACCTATATCACTGAACGAGGGCCACATTTCAGCAGAAATTAAATTCTGTAGGAAATGAATGGAAATGTCAAAAGGAAATGTGAAGGAAATGTCCTTCAATAATGAGGACATATGTACTTCTTCAGGGCAGACAGACATCTGAACCAAAGACATGGATGATACAAGAGTGCAAGCCCCAGAAAAGGTAGACATGGCCAAAGGCCATACCTAGCAGATGACGGCAACTGAAAGCAAGGCGACAAAGGGTCAAAAAATGAAGAGTGTCTACAGCAAAGGAGCCCACAATACATGCAGGAAACATTGAGCTGCAGCCACCAGACACTGGAACAATTGTCCAAGGAAAAAAATACCAGTCCTTGAAGACCAGCAGGAATGCCAGCAAGAAAAAGGAGAAGACAGTAAGGAAAATTATTTACCATGCAAATAAACCAGAGCACATCACCTCTGCCAAAAATGCAATCTGGAGAACAGAAGCAAAGACTTAATGGAACACTTCAAGAGAACCAAAATTCTCTCAGAAAAAGAGCACCACAAATATAATGAGGGACCAATGCACTAACATCCTGACAATGGAACAAGCAAGAGAAAACACAGTAGGAGTTGGCTCAACAGGAGTGAAAACCACAAAGAACAGTGCAACCAGAGCCACAGAAGAACCAGCGGAACAACGTCAACCTGAGAGGCTCCAACCAAACAGATGAAAAGATGCAGCTTTAGACAGCCAGAGTTGGCTAACAAAAGTGAAACTGCCTTTGAAAAATGAAAGAAATTATACCACAGGGGAAAACTCTGCACATGGCATTGCAAGCTGAAGCCTAAAAACAGACAGTACAAACAAGAGAAAAAAGGATTTGCTAGTAACACACTTGCTTACACCTGATAAACTACCAAGAAGTGGAAGAGGCTGGTTGCAAGGGCCATTGTCATACTTGAAAGGAAAAAAAATTCTTAGAAAACAAATATCCAAAGTACCAGAACCAAAGTGCAAGAAACAAGGTTTGCACTTTTTAGTTTGGTATGATTGCTTCAGCTTTTGTTCCGTTTTTTTTTTTTTAATCTCCGTTTAAATCACAACACTTTCTTTTTTGGGATAGTAATATTTGCTTAAAAACTAGCCGTTACAAACACTGCTTTATTGCGTTACTATATGCTTTTTGATCCATGCTCTAACATACAATATTATCTGCAAGAGGTGCGCCCTTTGCTGTATCAACCAGTCCAAGTGGTTGGACTAGTAATCCCTTCATAGGTGGCAGCTCAAGGTCTGCCTGGGGTCACTATCAGTAAAGAGCCAACTGACGACCACCGACACACTTGAAAGGGGAAAAGAGGGAGCAGGGAGAGCAAGGTGAGAGCAAGAGGTGAGGAGCAAAGCAGAGAGCTTTGCTCCTCACCTCTCTCTATTGCCTATTTATTGCCTGTCTCTACTTCCTCATCACAATCGACTTGAGAATGGCCCAGGACGGACTGAAACGTCATCGTCCCATCACCTAGTCTGTGGTCTGGTCAACATACAAACAGGTCATACTGTATGTGTAGCACTTTGTTGATAAAGTTGGTATGAATGGCTTCATAAACGTGTTACTGTATATGATTCACAATCACACTGTAATCAAGTTATCAGAAATACATAGTGAAAACATTCTTTTCTTTCATCTTCAATGATTTTGTTAAGAAATCAAAATTTTTAACTCACCTGCAAGCACATGTCTAATAGTACATCAGTGTTGTTAATTAAGCTTCTCTCATTGGCACGTAGATAGTGTAGCAATGAGCCGTGTCGTAGGTACTCTGTGACAATATAGATGGGGCGGTGTCTGCTGCATACACCATATAGCTGGACCAAGTTGGTGTGCCGCAGTTGCCTTAAATAAAATTAGACAACAAATTCAAATATTATACAACACAGGTATACTACATATATTATACAGTACAGGTATACTACAACATTGTACTGTACAGTATATACAAATAATATTGGAAAAACAAAGAACACCTTAATCATGTAAAAAATTATGAAAACAATTCAAAATCACATTCTATAATCAGCGTTTAGGAAGAAAACCACCGATGAATTATTTGTAGTAAGATATACTTAAATATTTACACAATGTAATAAATGCTGTACCTTATATACATTATGAACAATTGTTACAAATATCTAATTGAACATGGATATTGTATTTACTACCTAATTTTTGTACACTAGTTAAGAATGTATTCACATGTATAGTGTACATTTATGAATCATAAGAGACCACAAAGAGATACAAAATTATGTTTAGTATTATGCAGCAGAAAGCACAAACATATTTTAGCTTACTATTCTATTCTTAAATTTACAAATGGATTTAAATACTGTACTGCTCAAATTACAAGAGCTAACCTACATATATCAATATGAAATCTCCATCACTTCAAAAATCAATATAAAATGTATATCACTTCAAAAATCACTCCACACATTCTCATGTGCTATGTACTTGTACAAAACTTTGTTCCTAAATGCTAATCATGATCTGAAACTTTTCCTGGATAGGTATAATAGAACCCATGAGCACCACACCAGAAATAATTATCTCTTTGATATCCCCAGAGTCAAACTAAATATGTGCAAACACTCCATGCAAATATAGGTACCCCGTGTATAGAACCCCCACCTAATGAATTAAAAAAATTGTCCAACCTATGCCTTATTCAAAAGTAAAACCAAAAAGTACCTAATTTCATCCTTATAGTTTCCTCCCTTGCGCTTCAAACTCACACTGTATCTTGTACTACCAACTTCCCCAATATTAGTACAGTACCTGTACTTAAGACACGCATCTTCACCAGTGTAATCACCTCTTGTCAATTTATATTGTAATTATATATTGATACTGTATACATTTTGCTAAATGTACCTTTTCATCTTACCTGATATGTTAGATCAAGGACCTGCCCAAAACGCTATGCGTGTTAATGGCTTTACAAGAATGTAACGATACCAATCTTATGTAATCTCACATACCCATTGAACCTTCTTGTAAATATTATTATTACTGCATTATTATTCTTACTATTCTTATTATCATAAACATCTACTGGAATTCAGAGTAAAATTATTGTAATAATTTTTTCCCTCAGCTTTATGAACAGCATCCAAAGATAAAAAACAAAAAAACATTCGAGTTTATTTCAACATTAACACTTACGTCATGACTTTTGCCTCTTCAATAAACTCGTCTTCACTCATTGTTCCTTCCTTCATCATCTTCACAGCCACGTCTAGGCACCGTAGTTTACCATGTCTCACCACACCGAACTGACCTGACCCTAATTCCTCCAGGAGATTCAGCTCATTTGGATCAATTTCCCATTTGTCTGGAAAAAGTTTAGATAGTACAGTTATATGAACATTTTAGGCACAATCAGAGAGCACTGTATAAACATCAGAGGTCTGCGGTTGTTCAACGTCCTCCCAGCGACTATAAGAAATATTGCCGGAACAACCGTGGACATCTTCAAGAGAAAACTGGACTGTTTTCTAAGAGAAGTAAGGGCTTGGGGAGTAGAAGAACTCCCAGAACCCCATCGAGCAGGTATCAAGCAGGGAAATGTTGACTGAGGTTCAAAGTGCAAAGCTTTAGATTTAAGTACGAATTAAAACAGAAAAAGAATATTTTGAAATAAATTTGATTGAATTAATATGATTACTTAAGAATATATTTACAAGTCCTCATTAGAATCCAGTGGTTTTTAGTTGATTCTATGATCTAAGATTTGATATACATAACTATGGATATACAGTACCAAAATTAAATTTAACCTATACCAGTATTGTGCTACACTGTACTCTCAAATGAATGGATTAAAAAGAGACCAAAGCCCATTCAATTGTGATTGGATGGGGGGTTTGGTCCATACAATTGGAAATACAATTGTGAACAAAGACAGTTACAGTACAACATTTTTACATGAATGCTGCCTGGGAGGAGCGAGCAAATTTAATTTGGTACTTGCTGGCAGATAGGTGGGCCGCTGCAGTTTTCCCTGCATAATTCTCTTAAGATAACTCCTGTTCAGTTTGTTACTGGCCACCATGATAACTATTTGTTTTACATGTTATTACAACTTTCAGGTTGCTCCAGTGTGTTATATTTGGTGGGAGTTACTTGGAAGAGGATATGGTGTTACTGTATTGAGAATTCGTGGTTTACCGGAGTGTGTTTACCATTGCTTTCATCAAAGTTGAAGTTTGCCTAGAAAATTGTGGTTGTAAATCTTCACTTCTAATCAAATTGGGAGTACAGTATTGGATATTAACAGAAATGTCAAGGGGCAAAGACCAATTGCTATATTTTCAGGGAGAGTCGAGTCAAGTCTAACCTCAGGCTGGGCTAGGGGGAGTAGAACAACTCCCAGAACCCCATCAAGCAGGTATCAAGCAGGAGAGGGGGTTTTGTTTAATACATTGTTAACTATTAAGAATGCAATATCCTGTGGCCCTGGTGTTGGTGTAATATACCACTAGACATTAAACTTTGGGGGTGTCTTCTCTGAGGTCTGGGCCAAGCACCTATGCCAGATAAGGCCAATTATAATAAATTGCATTACAGTACTTTAATTAGGCCATTCCACATAGCTTTGTTGGTACGTTACTAAAATTCACACTAGAATGCTTCTGAATAAAATTGCAAGGAAACATGCCTAAATATCTCATCCTACCCACCATTTGGTTGTGAACTGCACTGCCTATTGCTCTACAGTTACCCTTTTGCACCTTTAGCCTGTATTTCTACCCCAGTGCACCTTTTATATTTCTACCCTAATACATCTTGTTATATTTCTATACCTACAGCACATTTTAATATTTCGCATTGGGCTTTATGCACTGCTGTCTATTATAGTTTCAGAGCACATTACAAACATCAATCTTTATACATGTAATTATTAACTTAATATGATCAATTTGCATAAAGTACTATAAAAGGTATAACAGTGAAACAGATAGCAATACATGTGACTTTTATAGCAACATACCATGACTAAGACCTGCAGTGGTGGGTGCCTGCTTGCCTTGCACAGGAGGCCTGAGTCTGGCACACAAGCCTCCTGGGTTGTGCTGGTGTCGGAAGATCAAGTCGGGTATAGTCTGGCACTTGATGTTATGCGAGAGATAGTAGTTTCCTTCTTGGTCCTTCTTTATATGGTAGTGTTTCACTTGAGGGTGAGACCTGGGAAGACAGTGGGGGAATTAGATAATGTTAGTAGAAAATAAATAAAATGTCTATAGAACAAATAACAAAATCGTAGGTTTCAAAACTGGGAGAAATTAAAAGACCAAATGTTCTATACTCAATTGGAGATAGATGAACCATAATTATGTTGTTATAATTAAAAATCAAAAGATTAGTGAAAAAATCCCCTTAGAAAATCATATGATAGAAGGATAAAGTTACAGGAAGTTGTAAGAACATACAGAGATTGAATTCTACCGTTATCTTGAGGTTATCTTGAGATGATTTCGGGGCTTTAGTGTCCCCGCGGCCCAGTCCTCGACCAGGCCTCCACCCCCAGGAAGCAGCCCATGACAGCTGACTAACACCCAGGTACCTATTTTACTGCTAGGTAACAGGGGCATAGGGTGAAAGAAACTCTGCCCATTGTTTCTCGCCGGTGCCCAGGATCGAACCCGGGACCTCAGGATCACAAGTCCAGTGTGCTGTCCGCTCGGCCGACCGGCTCACTATCACCGTACCACTAATAGGATTACAACAAAACTATCTCATCTTTTTTTTTTCCTTTTCCAGAACCAAAAACCGGTCCAGCAAATCCATGAAATAATTTGTTAATTTCCCATTATTTTAGCTGTAACCAATTACTAACAATCTTACTACTGGAATGGAATAATTTATTGTTTCTGAAATTTCCAGTACCACGTTAAAGTGGGTAACCTCTATACTGTATTACAACTACAGTATAATAATATATATCTGTTATGAAACAACAATTCCAATACAATATTAAAACTTTGGCTGCATTATTGTTTTAGCAACACTCCATCATTGTGGCATTGTTGAAAAAATTACAAAAATAATTAGTTTTAAGATTTGAGAAAACAGTTTTTGAGGTTAGAAAAAATATAAGCTAAATTACAATTTATGTCTCAGTCTTCAATCACCTCGAAATTTTTGCCAGTACGTATTAAGCTTACAACAATTTCAAGTAAATTTCTAAATATAATTCCAAATTAAAAAAAAAAGAAAATTAAAAATAAATGGGTTGGTAAAACCAAACAAAATCCCATCCCCGACACAATGTACTTCAACTCACTGTTTAGAGAAGACAGATAAAGTGTAAATCCCAGAGTTAGTAGTGGAATTCCTGACGACAAAACCACCTTCTCGCTCTTGCTGCATTAGAAGCACTTCTGCCCGCTGTCTAGTGGCGTCTCCTAGATACCACCTGCATTTCACAAGTTATTAAATAAATAGGAAGATTCCTATAAATACATCAGCAGATGTATTATACAAAAAAATATATATTAAACTATATTTTAAACAAATATTTTTGTTTAAAAATATTTTAAACAAATAATCTTACAAGATCACTCGATCTGATTTCTTTTTAAATTTAAAACTTGGATACTGTACAAGGCTAGAATTATTAACAAAAATAAAAAAATAATAATAATTAACCTTTCTATTTAATTTAAAGGGTGCTAAACACAATCTAATGAATATATATTTCCTGTTATGTCAACTTAAGTAATTAAGTAGTTGGAGATAATCCAAAAATATCTAAGCATAGATAGTAAATTAAAAGATATTTTTGTATACAGCCATTCATATATTCTTAACAATAGGCAATTACCGTTAACTCATGAAATAAAACAAAAATCGACTGAAATAAAATATGCTGCACAATTCATCTGTAATACAGTATTCATATGGTACTAAAATTTTATGTTAAGATTTAATGTAAAAAAACAACTCATAAGCAAATCACTAAAAAGGGGGTATCAAAATTTCCCTACACAGGTAGTTAATTATCCCCAGATTGATATACAGTGGTTAAACCTTTGGATTAACTTACTCGTACTGCTGTAAGCCCATTGTTCCACGTTCTCTGACATAGTTGCTAGGTGCGAAGCCCTCAAGCCTGCAAAATATAGGTTGAAAAACAACAGATGTTTCCAGATAATGTACTGTGGTATTGTGAATGCAATAACTACACTTCACTGTATATATTCTATTACACACGTTTTACATCTAGGCATAATGTGACATTATATATTTCTTCACCCATGAAGAAATTATGGGTGCTCTACCCATAGCTCTACCGTCCTGCCAGCCCATGAGCTGGACGGTAGAGCGACGGCCTCGCTTCATGCAGGTCGGCGTTCAATCCGTGACCGTCCAAGTGGCTGGGCACCATTCCTTCCCCCCACCCCATCCCAAATCCTTATACTGATCCCATCCAAGTGCTATATAGTTGTAATGGCTTGGCACTTTCTCCTGATAATTCCCTTACCTTCTTGCATTAACAAAACTAATTTATTCCTCGTACAATCAAAACTATTCCTTACACTTGACTATTTCTTGTAGTAGCAAAATTCTTGTACTGAACTAAGCTATTCATTGGTGCCTTCTTTTGATAATTACCGGCACTAACAAAGTGTGATACTTAATACTGTCTTCATAACTACCCTGATCAATATTTTGATCACATAACCTTGTGATCTTCGTCTAGCTGTTTTTCACCAAATCCAAAATAAATACATAATGAAGCAATGCATACATCAATTATATGTTGAAGTGTCTACAGACAATATTATGTTTCATGCAGAGCAAATACAAAAATGAGCTCCACTACATATTCCTAAAATATATTGCAAAATCCAGGTCATGGAATCACTCACTCACTCATTAACTCACCTCAACTTACTCCCACCACCTCAACTCACTCACCTCACACACACAAACTGAGAGGTATACCTCTCCCGGAACTAAGAGGTATGAGCTACAAAGAAAGGCTAAGGGAGCTGAACCTCACGTCCTTGAAAGACAGAAGAGTAAAGGGAGACATGATAACCTCCTACAAAATTCTCAAGGGAATTGACAGGGTGGACAAAGACAAACTATTTAGCACGGGTGGAACATGAACAATGGGACACAGGTGGAAACTTAGTACCAAAATGAGCCACGTAGATATTAGAAAGAACATCCAGTGAACATACAATTTGTTCAGTGTCAGTTAATGACATGAATTAGGCAGTAATGTGGTGGAGGCAGACTCCATACACAGTTTCAGATGTAGATTTGATAAAACCCAATATGCTTCATGATCTATACACCAGTTAATTGACAGTTGAGAAGCGGGACCTAAGAGTTCGCAAGCATAACTAGGTGAGTACACTCACTCTCTCACACTCACCCACTCTCTCTCACTCTCACAAATGCTCTCTGGAATGTTACTTAGCCTAGTATACCATTCAACACATTCTTTGTTACCTTACTTCCTGTACACGATGCCCAATTACACATGAGAGAACTTACCCTGTCTGAATGTTCCTCATCTTCCACCAGTGCTCCTGTGTGTCTTCAATCACTTCCAACTCATCGTGCTGTTGAAAACCCATGGCATTAGTCAGAGTATTGCGTGTATTAGACCTAGAATTGTATATTTAGGCTTAGGATATGTTTGGCAAAAAATATTTTTGAATATAGGGTTAAAAAAAAATTTGCACGTAGTGAGATATACAGTAATTATATACATATAATTATGTATCTTAGTATTAGAGTCGGGGGGAGTTTAGCTACTCTCAAGAGATTACAGTTGGATATGTACCCCAAGAGGTGTATCCAGCTCCTTCTGTGTATGCAGTACCCTACACCGAGTTTACTTTAGTCCAGGATTACGTTTGGGATCAAAGTATACTTCCTGGTTGGTCACTAGGCTCCTATGGTGGCCGTAATAACCCCTCGCGCGGTTCATAGATATTAAACACCACTGGAAAATGAAGGGACGACGACGTTTCGGTCTGTCCTGGACCATTTTCAAGTCGATTGTGATCTCAAGTCGATCACAATCGACTTGAGAATGGTCCATGACGGACCAAAACGTCGTCGTCCCTTCATTTTCTAGTGTGTGGATTGGTCTACATACTTCAGCCACGTTATTGTGACTATTCGCTTGTATTAACACCACTGATTTGGAAACGACTTCTACTCACTTTCCGTAACGACAGGTCTCCGGGGTCTGTAGCATTGTAGTCGTACAGCGCCACGACTACCTTCCTCTGCTGTGAACAGAAAAAAAAACTTTAACAGTTACTCAAGGCTACCTAAAATTTGCACGGTGATAAATTCTAAGAATAATTGAATACCAAATTGCTCGAATTGAGGCGACGGAGAAAATGGTCTGACTCCCTACCCCAACGTATCTATACCATTTTGTTGGGAGCTGAGGGAATTACAAACATTTTATTGTTTATTCATTTGAAGGAGAGTTTATGAGTGTTGCAATTTTCATTCGGGTATACTCGTGGGTAATTACAACCTAGGCTCAAAATTCAAAATACTACATGGATAATTTCAATCTATGGATCAAAGTATACATTATTTTGACATTATTAAAAGACCAAATTAATCTTCTTGCAATTAACCTTAGGTCAATACATCTTGGAAGTAGTTTCAACCGAGTTTAAACAAATCCCACTTTAGGTATAAAGTACACAGTGGTAATTGTAACTTAAGCTTTAGTGTACACAATGTACAACCAAGGTTCAATATACACTTAAGAATTTTGTTTACACAAGAATATTTCTGTCTAGGCTCAGAACCTTTTGAGGTTATCTTGAGATGATTTCGGGGCATAGCGTCCCCGCGGCCCGGTCCTCGTCCAGGCCTCCTTTTTGTTACACACCAAAAGGAAGCAGCCCGTAGCAACTGTCCAACTCCCAGGCACCTATTTACTGCTAGGTGAACAGGCGCATCAGGGTGAAAGAAACATTTTGCCCATTTGTCTCCGCCTCCACCGGGGATCGAACCCGGAACCTCAGGACTACGAATCCGAAGCGCAGTCCACTCAGCTGTCAGTAGCCCTACAGTTGTTTTCAGCGTAGTTATATAGTAACAAGAACAACTTCAGTGTCAGTACTGCACATGTAATTTGAACCCTGTTTCAGTACCCACGGGATCACTTTAACCAGGTTCAATACCCCCGTAAACTCAACATTGTGATAATTTCTACCATGCTGAGTACAAGGGTAATTACACCCACGCTACTACGTTTCAAGGGCAGAATTTGAATCCAGGATCAAAGTATACTTGTTTAAATAATAATAATAATAATATCTCTATGAGGCTAGACCAAAGACCTAGGATTCCCTTCTTCTGTCCCGGGTTCCTGGAATCAGGTTGGCTATAACAATATTAATTTATATTTGAGTAAATACCTATTTTGAATGAACAGCATGTTAAAATTGATGAATGCGTCTTTGGGGTCGGCCGCTGAATGGAATGGACTTGGTCTGAGGACGGGTTGGTTGGGTAATAGGGTGCACTGATAATCAGAATTCTACCTGGGTGTACCTGCGGGAACTCCCCCATTCCCCAAGTGTTGCCTGGAAAACTGACAGCCAATCCCAAATACGCACTTGTCATCCATTCACGGTATTATGCTATGACGCTAATCACAAACTCTAATCCAATTAAAAAGAGAACAAGTGGCATAATGAATAAAAAAACACTATTTTACTCGGCATCAATCATTGTTTTTTGGGGGGCACTGATGGGCAAATTATTAATGAAGTAGTCTCATTATTATTGTTGTACAACCCGCCATGACTGGGTAGAAAAAGCGCCTAGTACTGCATGTTTTAATTTCAAGATGAGCCACACCCATCCACTCTACATACGCTACCAAAGGGTGGGCAGGAAATTCTCATAAAGTTTCAAAACGGTATGAAAAACGTTAATGGAAAGTTGCCTCTTTTAACCTTGCAGAGTAAGGCGGACGACTCAAACAGAAAACGGGACAGTACGACACTTTTGTGAGTCGATTTCATTTCAAATTACGTCCAAATTTGGCCATAGCGCGCATACGAGCGAAAAGTGACGTTATTTTTAAGAGGACGGGTTGACCAAAGAGGGCCAAACGGGATGAGAATAGCTTGAGCTACCTCATCCCTTTGTGTGTATTTTACCTCAATAAACTTATTTCAATAAAAAGAGGGCCATACCTTGCCACTCCACACACACACTACAAACAGGGTCACACCAGTCATGAAGTCTTGTAGACGTCATTTTACGTATTATTTTTTTTATCAAAGCTCAGCACTTGAAATCAGAATGCCATTAACAGTTAATTAACCAAAATGAACCGAGGACCACAGCTTTAGTTATGCGACGCAGGAATACAGTATATATTTCCATGGTTCGATAACCAAACTCTTCCCGGGAACTTAGCGTTGGAGTTCCGCTATAGTAAGTTCCTGTGAAACGGTGAGCTACCGAGGACTACAGCTTTAGTTATGGGACGCAGGGATACAGTATATATTCCCATGGTTCGATAACCAAACTCTTCCCAGGAACTTAGCGTTGGAGTTCCTCTATAGTAAGTTCCTGTGAAACGGTGAGTTACGGAACCTCAACTCTGCTCTGAGCAAAGTATGATCCTGCAAGCACTACGCCAAGTCAGGTTTGCCTTCATGGTTGGTGCTGCTGCATGTTCTGGGCGTTTGGCCAAATGGTTAAACACATAAGCAACGCAATCTAATCGTTTGAATAAGCTGGCATGGCCGAAAAAGGCGGTGGCGCCAGTTTTTCTAAGGCTACCCTATCCTAATGGTATTCTCGCTCAAGTTGCGGCCCTCAATAAAGGGCCGTTATTTTCGTTAAAAATTCATTATTTTTCCGGACTGTGTAATCAAATCAGTCTCAAATTTAAATTAATATTATTAAATATTATATAGGTGCCTAGAAACCTGCTGGGCCGGCCAGTCAGGTGCCTAGAAACCTGCTGGGCCGGCCAGTCAGGTGCCTAGAAACCTGCTGGGCCGGCCAGTCAGGTGCCTAGAAACGGGCTGGGCCGGCCATTGAGGTGCCTAGAAACATGCTGGGCCGGCCAGTCAGGTGCTTAGAAACCTGCTGGGCCGGCCAATCAGGTGCCTAGAAACCTGCTGGGCCGGCCAAACAGATGTGGTCCACCCTACGTTAAATGCCTCACTAACGTTCGCCCATTAACCCTCTCCCAACAATGGCCAGCGGAGCATTGTGAGTTTTTGCTTGACCCAAACGAACAAGGCTTCTTATACAAGGTGTTGTGGGGAGCGGGTGGTGTTAACATTCCTATTATCATTATAAACAGTTAATTTTTTATTACAACCTTTATTTATTTTGATAACATTATTAGTATTATGATTACAATAATCACTAGTATAATGCTAATTATTGTTATGGACGAATATATCTAGAAGAGTTAGATTTATTAAACGTGTGTGTACTCGCCTAGTTGTGTTTGCGGGGGTTGAGCTCTGGCTCTTTGGTCCCGCCTCTCAACCGTCAATCAACTGGTGTACAGGTTCCTGAGCCTACTGGGCTCTATCATATCTACATTTGGAACTGTGTATGGAGTCAGCCTTCACCACAACGCTACTTAATGCATTCCATTTGTTAACTACCTTGACACTGAAAAAATGTGTGCATACGTTGGTGTGACTAAGCACTCGGGAAGGTTAAGCAAGCATTTCCTCCTCCAAGATCATAGGCTTTCTTAGTCATAGGGCCCAACCACTTGTTATGGGCTGGACGGTAGAGCGACGGTCTCGCATCATGCAGGTCGGCGTTCAATCCCCTCAGACCGTCCTCAAGTGACTGGGCCCCATTCCTTTCTCTCCGTCCCATCCAAAATTCTTATCCTGATCCCTTCCCAGTGCTATATATAGTCTTAATGGCTTGGCACATCTGATAATTCCTTCCTTCCTTCTTAGTTATAAGACTATTCCTCTCGAGAGGGCAGAGTTTACCGCCTCTCATCTGTCCTTAAATACGAACACCACATTTTCAGTCTTTAATAGCACGGGGCTATTCATGCCCGTGCCACTTCCTGGGTGGCTTAATCTTCATCAATCAATCATTCAGTCTTTCAGGTATCCAGGAGGTCCCCAATGACACAAACCCCAATTGGAGGTTTATATAAAATCTTTGCAACCTCTTATAATACCCAAGGCTACATGTGGTGAGGTACTACTGCTCTGTTTATATCTAATTCTTATAAGTTAAGTAATATTTGTAATTACGAAGCAAAAAGATGCTTATCTTAACATACTAAGAAGGTTAGGTAAGGTCGATGTTTTCTGTGAAGCTTTTCAAGGCAAACTAAAATATTCACAATAAATTAGTATGTCACATATGCACGTATTTAATAAGTCAATATTGACTATAAGCAAGTGCGAGAACGGGTTGCATGTCGAATTCTTTGAAGATCTTCCTTTGTTGCTTTTTTTGCGAGTTTGTTCCCATTATTAATCGAATAACTTTATCCTTTCCTGCAAGTTTCTTCTTATATATCTTCAACAAACATAGAAACTAAAACCAAAAGATGATTTTTTTTTGTGGCATGTACTTATCTGTAGCCGTTGTGCATGTATGAGTTATACACTTCGTCATTTAGTTTGTCCTACCCTCGAGCTCACTCTCCCGTCAGCGTGTATGGAGGAATTCCCTCCAGAGAGCCCCCGTGTGTGTGTGTGTGTGTGTGTGTGTGTGTGTGTGTGTGTGTGTGTGTGTGTGTGTGTGTGTGGTTGTGTGGTTGTGTGTGTGTGTACTCACCTAATTGTGCTTGCGGGGGTTGAGCTTTGGCTCTTTGGTCCCGCCTCTCAACTGTCAATCAACTGGTGTACAGATTCCTGAGCCTACTGGGCTCTATCATACCTACATTTGAAACTGTGTATGGAGTCAGCCTCCACCACATCACTTCCTAGTGCATTCCATTTATTAACTACTCTGACACTGAAAAAATTCTTTCTAACGTCTCTGTGGCTCATCTGGGTACTAAGTTTCCACCTGTGTCCCCTTGTTCGTGTCCCACCCGTGCTGAAGAGTTTGTCTTTGTCCACCCTGTCAATTCCCCTGAGAATTTTGTAGGTGGTTATCATGTCTCCCCTTACTCTTCTGTTTTCCAGGGATGTGAGGTTCAGCTCCTTTAGCCTTTCCTCGTAGCTCAATCCTCTCAGTTCCGGGACGAGCCTGGTGGCATACCGCTGAATCTTCTCTAACTTTGTCTTGTGTTTAACTAGGT